AATATTAATAACAACCACAAGGCTATCACAAGATTAATTTAAATACAAACACAAAACATGAGTAACACTGAGTGTGTGTGTGTGTGTGTGTGTCTCTTACAGGAGATTTTAAAGCCCTGCTCGTGGTCTTTAAGGTGATAAAAAAACCTCGCCTCCTGCCTACCTGACAGATGATGTATGATTTTATATCCGCTCGTGAGGCCCTCAGGTCCTCCGCAGTATCTTCAATGTCACTGCAAAGACAATGGGAGATGATGCATTCGTTTTGGTGTTTTGTATGTGAGCGGTGAAACGTCCTGCTGCAGTGCGGGGAAGGTGACTCACAGAACATCGAGATGTTTACATTAACTGCTGCTCGATCTTAAATGTAAAGTATAAATCAGCGGCTAGAGCGTAAGTTAAATGTAAGACACACACTTTATGTGTTTGATGCAATAGCTGGATTTTACAAGACACTTTACCCACCACTGAATTTCAAGTGCAATTTTTTGATATCCGTAATTTATGTGTGTATTATTCAAGCTTTGTCATTTTAAGTTGATTATCTTTTCTTTGGATCTGTTCTTATGGGATCAATAAAGTTTATCTTACCTTATCTTATCTTATCTTGTCTTATCTTCACAGTTTAAAAATGAATAGTTATTATTTGTATTTATATGAATCTATTCATTTCCTTCTATTTTATCAGCCACACAAGCAAATATCTCAACAACTATTCAATGGATTGTCATTTTGTACAGACATTCATGGTCCCCAGAGGATGAATCTTCCTGACATTTGTAATTTTGAGTGAAATGTCTTGACCACTCTCAACATGAACTTTGTTACAGACATTCATGTTCCCCTGAAGATGAACTGTAATAACCTTGGTGATCCTCTGACTTCCCATCTAGCGTCAGTTGTCAGTTTGTCCGTTACTTTCACGACGACATATCTGCAAATCTAATGACATTGTGATTTCTGTTGGAGTAATTAGCAAACATTAGCATGCTAACACTGACATTTTGGCATGTTAGCATTGTCATTGTGAGCATGTTAGCATGCTGATATCAGCATTTAGCTCAGAAAGAACAGAGCTGCTAGCACGGCTGCAGACTCTTACTCTTGTTTTCTTGTCTCATCACTGAATTCTCAGATTTTCCCGCTCCTCTGTTCTGCACCGAGCTCACCGGGGACTCTGTCTTCCCACCTTTGCAGAGACTGTTGGAGTGGATGAGACCATGCAGCACCTGTTGATGAGCCCTGACATGATTGTGCTCCTGGAGGTGTGCTCCTTTCATACCTTCAGTATACTGTTAACACGAGGTGTCACAAACCCCTAAAGCGGAGAAGGGAACACAGTCAGGACGAAGAAGTGGAGGCTGTATCTTCTTTATCTCTTCCACACATCTCAAATGTTGTGGAGGAATCTGGTCTGAATATAAGTCTGAAAATCACTGACTGATTACTTGTGATAATTATTCATTTAAAATAACATTCCTCAGCTTTGATTCAATCTCTTGTTTTTACCTGCACAGAGAAACAGACTGATCATCTTCTCCGTTGTACTGAGCCTGATCTGAACTCTCCCGCTCCACATACAGTATTTACACTGACACTGACACCAGGTGTGATCTTCCTTTTCTCCAGGTGATGTGCTCCATGTCACTTTTGCTGACTTCCTGTTGAACAGGCAACATTCAGGGATCAAAACTCCCCCTCAGGAACGTTTCTATTTGTATTTGGTAAAAGTGAAGTAAAATAAATCAAGACTTCAGTTGTTCCCAGTGTTAATAACCCTGCAGTATATTATATATTTTAACCCTAACCACTCCTCACTATTTAGCATTTATAAGCAAATAGCTTAACATATTTTTTTTGTGAAATCTGTTTCCAAGGTCAAGATTGAACCTTCAAGCTCAACTCACAGTGTTAAACTGCAAACCTTTGTTTTTGTGTGTAATCATATAATTACAGCTATTAATAAACTGCTGTAATGTTGTCATAGCTACATTATAGTGTGTTATAAACCCTTTATTAAGGGTATGGTGGTAAAGTAAAGTAAAGTGAAACTTTACCTGATACAAGGTGTTAGCGTAGCTGAGTTCAGTGTTCAGGTTCAGTGTAAACAGCCGCTGGCTCTGACAAACACAGTGAGTGTCTCAAACAAAAGATGGCTCCTTTTGGCGTCAGTCTTCATTCTGTAAATGTTTGTTCTCTTGGCCCAGATTTGAACACTGCTGTTACCACAATGTCAGAAACTAATAGGGATCCAATAACAAACAAGTAAATGACCCACTGTATTTGTCAGCGAGAGTTCATCTTTGGGTCGTTTGTGGGTTATACAACAGATGTCTTTGTTCTGCAGCATGGACCCGTGTTGACCGTCCAGAACCAGGGTTAGTCTGGACAGTGTTTCTTGAACATGCTGTGGCAGGAGTCTCACACCTTGTCATTGTCTCCTCAGACGCCTAGCGGTGAACATTAGTGATGTGGCGAGCTCCACTTTTTGTATTTTATCAACAAGTGGTAACACAAATCCGAATGTGGTTTTATGATCGTCGGCGTCGACTCACACTGCTGATCATTGAGGCTCTGAAGCAGCTTGTTCTTATCATTTCTGACAACATGCCAACAGCTGTGCTGTATTTCCTGGGTCACTACTTTTGGATGTGATGAGTCAGTCACTCAGTCAGTCAGTGGTCAGATCTTCTGCCTTGAGCTCATAGTTATTTTTGACTTCTGTGACTATCACAGTTTTTCTTTTGGGTTTGACATCAAGGTCCCACAGGAAACGAGCTCAGTCATTACTCAGGCACTTTTTTTCTTTCTATTTAACCAATGTAGTGGCTGTAAAATGCACAGATATCGTCAGTGCGGTAAAACCAGTTTACCTGTGAACAGGGTGGGAGGTTGAAACAGAAATCTTGTGTTATTGTTGACACAAAACTTCATTCTTGTACCTGAACACTCCCACCTCCTTCCTCTCTGTTGAGCCTCTCCCCTGCCCCAACCTTCCTTAAACAACAACCTATCAAAGTAATTAAGGCAGCCGGAGAATTATTTCTCAAATGCAACAACAATTCTCTTCATTCAGTATCATGTTGCAGTGTTTGTCTGGTGAAGACTTGGCTTTTATCGCCCTCTACTGGCTGATCAGAGGTATCAGAGAGCGTGCACTCAGAGACCAGTGTGTGTGTTTTATAATGCTCTGTGCAGTGGGCTTTCATTGTTTACACTGCACTTGTTTACAGTTCTTCTCTCTTCCTGTTTGTGTTTTACATTCCAGTCTTAAAGGGACACTGAAGTCCACACTGACGTTTCTTCCTCTCCGTGGAAAAACTATCTTATGTATTTTTCATCTGCTTTTTTCTCAGGTCAAAAAATATCCACTGTTTGTGACGACCACTAATTGAAATCTCTGACAGGCTCCTGAGTTTTACGGTGGAAGTTTCTATCTGCATGAATTCATAAGTAAAAACTAAAGTTGCATTTTGCAGTATTAGCCTGCAGATCCACAACTGTTGATTAAATGCCATGTGTTGTATTTGTTACGCATTGACTTGCTGTTATTACATTGCTATAGCATTAATATGGCCAGACAACAGGAGTCTTAAAAGGAACAGTTTTTGGGAAATACACTGATGTTTTCTTGCTGAGAGTTAGATAAGAAACCCCTCCCCAGCAGCCAGTTAGCTTAGCATAAACACTGGAAACAGGGGGAAACAGCTAGCCGGGCTCTGTCTGAAGCATTGTCTGTACAGCTCACAAATTAACCTAACTATAAAAAACGACTATCCATCATTTACCAGATGAGTGTCTGCGAGCAGGGTGGATGATATATAGTGAGTCCTGTCTCTAGTCATGTTGATGCATTAGCTAAATGCACTACAATAGACTTATGTGACACTTTTCTTGTCTTATTGAACACTCAAAGTGTTTTGCACTCAACCACATTCATCCATTCATACAGCACTTTCTCTATACACACACACACACACTCACACAAGGACACTTCAACATGCAGACTTCACTCTACCTCCTGAGCCACAGGCGCCCCTGATTAATTAATTCAATATGTTATGTCATGTTATATCTCTTTATTGTAGTTTGTAGTGAGACAAAGTCTGACCCTCTCTCACTGGCTCCCTGGTGTAAACCTACATACAGGTTCTTCACTTTGATGAGAGAGCATCAGACACGGTATCACATGATATTAATGTCTGCAGAATGATGGTGTCACACCATGGAAACGGGCGCTGCGATCGCCCGCTCCAGCTCCGTTTTCAAAAATGAAATCTTACGTAAACAAAAGTCAGACTGAGCAAAAAGCCAACAACCATCCAGCATCAGACAGGAAGTGCTTTTTCAATTCATTTCTCATTTGACAGCTTGTCTATGATTAATTACTCTTTTGTGTGAATGTGTGTGTGTGTGTGTGTGTGTGTGTGTGTGTGTGTGTGTGTGAGAGAGAGAGAGAGAGAGAGAGAGAGAGAGAGTGAGAGAGGCAGGAACATTAACAGGCTGATTAACTAACATGTACGATGAGGGATATGTCACTTGCTGTTGTATATGTATAGATATAATGTTTACTCTGTTTATTGTGTTAACAGCTACACCGCAGCAGCCCCGTGCGTTTGCTGACAAAGTCAAATTCCCCCAGTAAACGGAAGCTCTCTCTCCATGATTTGGGTCAAAAATGAGAGCTGTTGTGGCCTGGCTCCTGAGTCCTGGCTGCGGTCCTTGTGCCCATGAAAAAGAGCCTTTACAGAGCGCCTTCTTTTAAAATGCAGGGGGGTGGTGGGGGTGGAGGTGGGGCTTGAATATACATAAGGGGCTAAGACAGTCCGCCAGTCCAATTTGGCACAACATCACCAGACAATTTGCTGTTGCTTAACCTATACGAGGAAGCTGATTGGGTCTCTCCTTTCATTTAGACTCTCTTTATCCTCTCCTGGAGCTTGTAAGAAAATAATCCTCTTGGAACGGCCCTCCTCTGGAAGAGAGACGCCGCGTTAGTGATGAGCACAGGCTTACTCAAAACTGAGGCTTTATCCTGGATGTCGGATGTGGACAACGTGACTGGGGGCCAGTCCCGGGACTTGGTCCTGCAGCCTGCCTGGGACTACCTCCACCAGAACCACCACGACCTCCTGAGGAGCCCTCTCTTCCCTGTTGTGCTCTCCGTCTCCACCTACTTCTTCCTGGTTGGTCTTTACACCGTGCTGGACCTGCTGGCCCCCGCCTGGCCCTGCATCAACCGCTACAGGCTCCATCCTGACAGACCGGTCACCTGGCCTAACATCTGGACCACGCTGGGCGTCACCATCTACAACCACCTGCTTTATATCTTCCCCGCTGCGGTCGCCCAGTGGCTGTGGAGGCCGCCCACCCCGCTGCCTCGTGAAGCGCCCACTCTTTGGAGCTTCTTCCTGGGCATCCTGGGCTGCATGGTGGTCTTTGACTTCCAGTATTACCTGTGGCACCTGCTGCACCACCGGGTCCCCTGGTTGTACCGCACCTTCCACGCCATGCACCACCAGTACAACCAGCCCTTCAGCCTGGTCACCCAGTACCTATCTGGCTGGGAGCTGTTCAGCGTGGGATTCTGGGCCACAATAGACCCCATCCTGCTCCAGTGCCACTGCCTCACAACGTGGGGCTTCATGGTCTTCAACGTCTACGTCTCCACCGAGGACCACTGCGGCTACGACTTCCCGTGGGCCATGCATAACCTGGTGCCCTTTGGCCTCTGGGGCGGCACGCCCAAGCATGACGCGCACCACCAGCGGCCCGGCACTAACTTTGCCCCATTCTTCTCTCACTGGGACTGGCTGGGGGGCACCCACACTGTGCCAACCCCCTCCAGCCACACTGCCACGGGAGAGCCAGACGAGATGAAAGGGAGAAAAGACTAAAGAGCTTGAATTAATCTCCCATTGACTCTGTCTCTCTTGTACTCAGTCTGCCTCTTTTGTACCTGCTCTCATCTTGTTTTTCCTCTCTCTCCTCTCTCCTGCAGGCCACTTCCTCTCTGTCCTCTCTCTCTCTCTGCCTCTCTTTCTCTTTGATATTATTAAATAGACTCACCTTATTTTGAAAATCCTCCACTGCTCTCTAGCAGCACATGGATATTCTCCACAGTTTAGGAGCTGATTATCACTCTAACATTTCTTTCTGGTAAGTTGCTGAGAAGAATTATCTTTAATGTTTGTTTTGTATAGACAACCCTGCAGATTTTTCCATTTATCTTAATGTATTGTTACTGTGTCTCCTTGTTATTCTCAGGTCCGTTTCAGTACATGTGTAACATGTTTTGAGCTACTTTGAAAAATAAAAGTAAAATAATTAAATAAAAGCACCTATTTGAGATTTGCTCTGTTAAACTCCACTCAGCAGCTCTGATCGAGAATTAGCCGACGGTCGATGGTGTGATCTGTCAGAGCGATTACACACACGTTAGCACGTACATTCTCCCTCTCTCCCTCCTCAGCACCGACCCTCTCACTCACACCCATGAATAGCCGTCTTTTAGCTGCACCCCAGTATGATGCGTGGGCGCAATACTAATCGATCATCCTCCCTTTCAGACAAAAAAAATGAATGCTCTTACTGGAAGAGTTCTTCATGAAACTCAGACGAGAGGAGAACAATGTCTGTGATGCAAAGTCTTCAACTGTGAAAGTGAGAATGAAATATTTGAAGGATGTCAGTGCGTTCACAGCAGCAGGTGTTGATCTTTGAAATACTAAAAACAAAGAGATTACTGTGCAAATCAACAGGTTTTCCCCTTTGGCTTTACTTTTTGTGAAAAAAAATAAACACATAAAATCACATGGCTGCATATGGAGTCAGGATTTCCTCATTAAAATAAAGTTTTAATTGAAAAATTGACCTCTTCACTTCGACTGAAACCTCAACTTTTACTCACATATGATAAAACTTAACCTTCAGCAAATAAACCAGCAGAGGTCACTTTCCCTCCCAACAAGAATCAGACAGAAACCTGCATCTATAATACTTATTTTAACAGATTAAACCTTAGAAAAAAGACTTTTCCCATTGTGCAATATCTAATTATATCACACAGGAAATGCAGTGAATCACAACTCTGTAGGTCATCACTCTCTTCCCTCTTTGCTGTTTCACCGGGTGACTTTACCTGCAGGCAGAACTGTTTCAGCATGTTACTGTTGCAACATGTTGTTGCTTTTTTTTAGAAACTGAATTCACCTGCCTGAGACCTCATGTCTCATTAAATTAATCCCGCGTTTAAATAAACAAACTTTACGCCCACGTCTGGTGATGGCGTGCGTGTGTGTGTGTGTGTGGAAGCTATTTGTTTCAACATGAAAGATTGTGAAAAGACTAATGTCTACAGACTGTGTGCAGTGAGGTTTGTACACCAGTGGTTTGTTCTGCAACCTACCACAACCCTATGGAAGAAATCTATACACTCGTGCATACGTCGGTGTTGTCGTCACAGGATTGTTGCAATTTATGATTAAGTTCAGGACATGCCGTAAGATGTTGCATGGCAGAAATGTGCAATAGAAACCTTTTTTTTTACACTCAGATTTTTGGATAAAAATAAAAAAAAAAAGATGTAAAGTTATAAATAGGGAGATGTTTTGGTGCTGGTGGTTGTTGCCTTTAGATAGGGCCAGGGTAGCTGTTCTCTCCGTGTTTCCAGTCTTTGTGCTAAGCTAAGCTAAGCTAACTGACTTATTTTCATACTTTGGTCATAAGTTATCGGAGNCCTTTTTTTTTACACTCAGATTTTTGGATAAAAATAAAAAAAAAAAGATGTAAAGTTATAAATAGGGAGATGTTTTGGTGCTGGTGGTTGTTGCCTTTAGATAGGGCCAGGGTAGCTGTTCTCTCCGTGTTTCCAGTCTTTGTGCTAAGCTAAGCTAAGCTAAGCTAACTGACTTATTTTCATACTTTGGTCATAAGTTATCGGAGAAACAAGTAGATGTTAGACAGCTCAGCTTCCGAGACATCCCGTGTCCACTGAACTACACGTGTGAATCACTGATTTTTAAAGTAAAACTTCTTTATTCTGTGTTTCTACTGGTTTTAATCCCAGAGTTTGTTGTTTATATAGAGGAGGAGACTTCTTCGTTTAAAAAAACCTCCTGACTGACTCCCATGATCCCATGCTCCTTCATGACGTCACCAAATGTCGTCTTTTGTTATAGTTTCAATTCAGCAGAAGTTACATACTGTGCATTTAAATCTCAGTAACATTGAAACGTTGCATTGAGCTCTTTGTAGTGCTGCTACACGTCAGTGTGTCTGTATACGTGAAGCCACCACAGCTCATAACAATGGACGACTGTCCATTGCTTTCCATACCAGCGCCGCCTCTCACGGCAAAACAGTACAGGGAAATGTGTAATCAGTGACCTGCCTTTTGTTCCTTCCTAATCGTTCATGATCATAAACTGTGCTCCGGGAAATCACGATTAATGATGTCACCAAACCCTTCAGCAACTTTTACAAATCACAACCTGAGAGTCGACTTTTACAAATATGATTTAACAGGTTTCAAATTCCCTTCTCCAGTCCATATGAGGCCTGTAGTGTATAATCCCTTCTCCTGGTGATATATTATTAAGCTATTTCTTTATTTCACATGTGATTCATAAACACGCTGTAACTCAGGAATGTTTGAAAGGAGCTGAGTGAGTGTAACGCGGCCAGGGAGTGGCCCCGTCCGTGCCCTGCATGACAAAACAAGGTGATCTACTCACACTGCTGACAAAAGGTAAGACGACACTCCACAACAATCATTTACCCTTTTACACAGCTCTGCCACAAACAGTCATTAAACAGGAAGTCAGCGACCATTCACAGGCCGTGTTTGCGTGTGTGTGTGTGTACGTGTACCTGGGGGAGGGTGACTGTTTTGGGTGGGGTTGTTGCTTCAAACGATCTGTTCACATACTCCTTATCAGGAGATAAAAGACCAGGGCCATTCAATTGAGTTCACAATAACCCTTTGTTGCCACTCTATTGTCTCTTAATCGTATTAAGCAGCAGATTTTAACTGGAAAAAAAATAAAATAAAAAGAACGTGACTACAACAGATTATATGAGCTACAAGTTTAAATTAAGACAAGTAGGAAAGCGAGCTGTTTCACGAACAGCTGGAACGTGGTCTGACACTGAAACCAGTTCTAACATGTCTCATCACGCTCTCAAGCATTCTTTAAGCCCCTCCACTCTCACCCTCCTTCCTTCTTCAGAAAATACAATCATTAACAACCAAGTGAACATTAACGTGTTTAAAAAAAATATATATACAAAAAAAAAAGAAACTGGTCTGACACTCAAAACACATTCCACGAATTCCTAACATTTCCACAAGGCACAGACCAGTGAGTCACGTCTCCTCTCCAGCTGCATGATATCACCGACTAACAGGCTTCAATCAGTTACACAATACTATAAAAGGAGTTTCACAGAAACTACATCCTGTTTTATCATTTATTTAAAAAAACAAAACAAAAACAACTAAGTAACAATACCAACAATTTCTTCATCAGTTCAAAACTCAAACATAAATCACGTCAGTACAAGTGGTTTTAAATGGCAAATTAAAACCTGCTGCAGGAATGTGCTGAATAGGCAAGAAAGGGAAAAACGCAGCAGTGAATAATAAGTACAGCTTAACACAAAACACAAGTCACATCATAACGCCTGATACTTGCATTACTTAAGCTCCAAAACCCTCTGCACACATCTGGTTCATGTGGCGGTTTTTATTACGGATTTCATTGGCTTTAAATCCAGTAAACTAGTCAGTCAAAAGCACATTTACCTGTGTCAGCGATTACCAGGCCTTCTCTTCATTTATACATATTTATATATGTAAATATTCATAATAAAAAAAAAGAAAATATGTATTAATGTTTCACATTTTAGCACCAAACCTCATACCAGCACAACCAGCTTCACATTTAAAGTTCATCTTTGGTTACGTGATGCTTTTGAGGTTACTTGGTTTTAATGTATGGGCCTTATGTCCAGTATTACAGTGTCCCAGTTCCACACAGCCTGTATGACGCCGTGTTATCGGCATCAGTATCACGATCTGGCTAACAGGTACTGCTCTGTGTGTTCCCAGTGTCTGACACGTACGACTTGCTCCTCCTGGAGTATTTCATGGAGCTGAATGAAACCCTCATCCTCTCCACAGTCCGGCTGCTCCTGCACAGCAAAGTGTTCTTCACGTGGTTCCTGAAGTCCTCCGACACAAAGTAGTAGATGAACGGGTCCAGGCAGCTGTTGAGACTGGCCAGGCACAGCGTGGTGATGTAGAAGCTGTAGCCGTTGTTTATCACGCTGTCCTTCAGCAGGGAGTAATGCACCACCAGCATGATGTTACTGGGGATGAAACACACGACGAACGTCACCAGGACGGTCACGATCAGCATCACGGCCTTGCGTCGGTTCTTTGACGCCGTGCTTTCCTCCATGCTGTTCCCCAGAGCGCGGAGCAACAGAATATAGGCCACGATGATCACTAGGCAGGGGACGAGGAACACGACCATTCCCATGAAGATGAAGTAGTAGTATGGCAGCTGGACGGAGGGGAACGGGTTCTGGAGGTCATGTATGACGCTGACATCGTGGCAGGTGGTTATGTTGGGGTCTTTGAGCTTGGCCGTGTGGTCGTACAGGTACAGAGGAGTGGTGGTGAGCCAGATGAAAACCCAGATGGCTACACACACGCCGATTGCCACTTTGTTGTTCTTCCTCTGCTGGGACAGAGGGTGAGCCACGACCCAGTACCTCTGCACGCTGAGGCAGGTGATGAACAGGACGGAGCAGTACATGTTCCCGTAGAAGAAGCCCACCAGGACTTTGCACAGCGGCTCTCCGTAGATCCAGTCGTTGCCGTTTAAGTGGTAGGCGATCTTCAGCGGCGTCCAAATGACAAAGAGCAGGTCGGCCAGAGCCAGGTTGGCCATGTAGATCGACGACGGGTGCTTCTTCTTGGTCCTGAACAGAAACACCCAGACCGCCATGCCGTTGGCGGGAAGCCCCACCACGAAAACGATGATGTAAACGATTGGGAGGAAGACGGTGGTGAGGCCACTCTTCAACGTTTCTGATGTTGTGTGGTCCACGACAACTTGTCCTGAGTTTTCAGGGTCCACAACCCCGAAGAACCCACGTGCTTTAGACCCACCTTTAAAATGACAAAATAAATACATATTAGGGCTGAAACTATTGATTCAACTGATTAGTTTATAGGGAGAATATTGATTGTAAATGATTCTGATAATACATTAATCATTTAAGTCATTGTAGTTGATCAGAAGTTGAACATTTTTCTTTATTTTCCGACAATTTTTAAGCTAAAAAATAAATATAAACTACTGATAGGTAAATAATCATTAGTTGAACTGATAAAATAGCTGATTTAAGTTTCCACGCCTACATTTACCGACATTCCTGTCAGTCTGGGAGTTGACCACGACCCAAGGTTAAAAATACTTCTGTCAAAAAGTCGCTCCAATATTCACGTTTTAAAAAATTTTTAACTTGTAGTATATACTTATAGTTTATATCTTGTCTGTGAGTAGTTTATTTAGTAATATCTTCGATGTATTCTCTTGAGATAAGACTAATTGTGTCCCATTAGATCGTTATGTAAACGACGTAACCCTCCACCACGATAAACACAGAGGAACTTCCGGGCTTACCTGTGGCGTCTGAGGCTGAAATGCAGCAGAAAATTAACAGCAGCGTCAATAATCGCGGTAAATCCATGTCTGTGCGCTTTCAACACGTCTCTGCTTCACTTCTCTTTTGTTGCACTCTCCCCACCACACAACCTCTTAAGTATAAGTTAACTTCTCCAACCGAGAAAAAGGACACGCCCCGAGACTACCTGTCTGTCTGGTTGCTTACGTCATGGTCGAGTAACCGCCCACCTGTTCTGCTCTGTGGCGGTTTCCCCAATAGAAGGTTTGGTCTCAACATTGGTCAGAGACAATAGTCAGAGAGGCAGCAACAACGCCACCCATCCAAAACAAACAGANACTGAAACCTCAACTTTTACTCACATATGATAAAACTTAACTTTCAGCAAATAAACCAGCAGAGGTCACTTTCCCTCCCAACAAGAATCAGACAGAAACCTGCATCTATAATACTTATTTTAACAGATTAAACCTTAGAAAAAAGACTTTTCCCATTGTGCAATATCTAATTATATCACACAGGAAATGCAGTGAATCACAACTCTGTAGGTCATCACTCTCTTCCCTCTTTGCTGTTTCACCGGGTGACTTTACCTGCAGGCAGAACTGTTTCAGCATGTTACTGTTGCAACATGTTGTTGCTTTTTTTTAGAAACTGAATTCACCTGCCTGAGACCTCATGTCTCATTAAATTAATCCCGCGTTTAAATAAACAAACTTTACGCCCACGTCTGGTGATGGCGTGCGTGTGTGTGTGTGTGTGGAAGCTATTTGTTTCAACATGAAAGATTGTGAAAAGACTAATGTCTACAGACTGTGTGCAGTGAGGTTTGTACACCAGTGGTTTGTTCTGCAACCTACCACAACCCTATGGAAGAAATCTATACACTCGTGCATACGTCGGTGTTGTCGTCACAGGATTGTTGCAATTTATGATTAAGTTCAGGACATGCCGTAAGATGTTGCATGGCAGAAATGTGCAATAGAAACCTTTTTTTTACACTCTGATTTTTGGATAAAAATTAAAAAAAAAGATGTAAAGTTATAAATAGGGAGATGTTTTGGTGCTGGTGGTTGTTGCCTTTAGATAGGGCCAGGGTAGCTGTTCTCTCCGTGTTTCCAGTCTTTGTGCTAAGCTAAGCTAAGCTAACTGACTTATTTTCATACTTTGGTCATAAGTTATCGGAGAAACAAGTAGATGTTAGACAGCTCAGCTTCCGAGACATCCCGTGTCCACTGAACTACACGTGTGAATCACTGATTTTTAAAGTAAAACTTCTTTATTCTGTGTTTCTACTGGTTTTAATCCCGAGTTTGTTGTTTATATAGAGGAGGAGACTTCTTCGTTTAAAAAAACCTCCTGACTGACTCCCATGATCCCATGCTCCTTCATGATGTCATCAAATGTCGTCTTTTGTTATAGTTTCAATTCAGCAGAAGTTACATACTGTGCATTTAAATCTCAGTAACATTGAAACGTTGCATTGAGCTCTTTGTAGTGCTGCTACACGTCAGTGTGTCTGTATACGTGAAGCCACCACAGCTCATAACAATGGACGACTGTCCATTGCTTTCCATACCAGCGCCGCCTCTCACGGCAAAACAGTACAGGGAAATGTGTAATCAGTGACCTGCCTTTTGTTCCTTCCTAATCGTTCATGATCATAAACTGTGCTCCGGGAAATCACGATTAATGATGTCACCAAACCCTTCAGCAACTTTTACAAATCACAACCTGAGAGTCGACTTTTACAAATATGATTTAACAGGTTTCAAATTCCCTTCTCCAGTCCATATGAGGCCTGTAGTGTATAATCCCTTCTCCTGGTGATATATTATTAAGCTATTTCTTTATTTCACATGTGATTCATAAACACGCTGTAACTCAGGAATGTTTGAAAGGAGCTGAGTGAGTGTAACGCGGCCAGGGAGTGGCCCCGTCCGTGCCCTGCATGACAAAACAAGGTGATCTACTCACACTGCTGACAAAAGGTAAGACGACACTCCACAACAATCATTTACCCTTTTACACAGCTCTGCCACAAACAGTCATTAAACAGGAAGTCAGCGACCATTCACAGGCCGTGTTTGCGTGTGTGTGTGTGTACGTGTACCTGGGGGAGGGTGACTGTTTTGGGTGGGGTTGTTGCTTCAAACGATCTGTTCACATACTCCTTATCAGGAGATAAAAGACCAGGGCCATTCAATTGAGTTCACAATAACCCTTTGTTGCCACTCTATTGTCTCTTAATCGTATTAAGCAGCAGATTTTAACTGGAAAAAAAATAAAATAAAAAGAACGTGACTACAACAGATTATATGAGCTACAAGTTTAAATTAAGACAAGTAGGAAAGCGAGCTGTTTCACATACAGCTGGAACGTGGTCTGACACTGAAACCAGTTCTAACAAGTCTCATCACGCTCTCAAGCATTCTTTAAGCCCCTCCACTCTCACCCTCCTTCCTTCTTCAGAAAATACAATCATTAACAACCAAGTGAACATTAACGTGTTTAAAAAAAATATATATACAAAAAAAAAAGAAACTGGTCTGACACTCAAAACACATTCCACGAATTCCTAACATTTCCACAAGGCACAGACCAGTGAGTCACGTCTCCTCTCCAGCTGCATGATATCACCGACTAACAGGCTTCATCAGTTACACAATACTATAAAAGGAGTTTCACAGAAACTACATCCTGTTTTATCATTTATTTAAAAAAACAAAACAAAAACAACTAAGTAACAATACCAACAATTTCTTCATCAGTTCAAAACTCAAACATAAATCACGTCAGTACAAGTGGTTTTAAATGGCAAATTAAAACCTGCTGCAGGAATGTGCTGAATAGGCAAGAAAGGGAAAAACGCAGCAGTGAATAATAAGTACAGCTTAACACAAAACACAAGTCACATCATAACGCCTGATACTTGCATTACTTAAGCTCCAAAACCCTCTGCACACATCTGGTTCATGTGGCGGTTTTTATTACGGATTTCATTGGCTTTAAATCCAGTAAACTAGTCAGTCAAAAGCACATTTACCTGTGTCAGCGATTACCAGGCCTTCTCTTCATTTATACATATTTATATATGTAAATATTCATAATAAAAAAAAAGAAAATATGTATTAATGTTTCACATTTTAGCACCAAACCTCATACCAGCACAACCAGCTTCACATTTAAAGTTCATCTTTGGTTACGTGATGCTTTTGAGGTTACTTGGTTTTAATGTATGGGCCTTATGTCCAGTATTACAGTGTCCCAGTTCCACACAGCCTGTATGACGCCGTGTTATCGGCATCAGTATCACGATCTGGCTAACAGGTACTGCTCTGTGTGTTCCCAGTGTCTGACACGTACGACTTGCTCCTCCTGGAGTATTTCATGGAGCTGAATGAAACCCTCATCCTCTCCACAGTCCGGCTGCTCCTGCACAGCAAAGTGTTCTTCACGTGGTTCCTGAAGTCCTCCGACACAAAGTAGTAGATGAACGGGTCCAGGCAGCTGTTGAGACTGGCCAGGCACAGCGTGGTGATGTAGAAGCTGTAGCCGTTGTTTATCACGCTGTCCTTCAGCAGGGAGTAATGCACCACCAGCATGATGTTACTGGGGATGAAACACACGACGAACGTCACCAGGACGGTCACGATCAGCATCACGGCCTTGCGTCGGTTCTTTGACGCCGTGCTTTCCTCCATGCTGTTCCCCAGAGCGCGGAGCAACAGAATATAGGCCACGATGATCACTAGGCAGGGGACGAGGAACACGACCATTCCCATGAAGATGAAGTAGTAGTATGGCAGCTGGACGGAGGGGAACGGGTTCTGGAGGTCATGTATGACGCTGACATCGTGGCAGGTGGTTATGTTGGGGTCTTTGAGCTTGGCGGTGTGGTCGTACAGGTACAGAGGAGTGGTGGTGAGCCAGATGAAAACCCAGATGGCTACACACACGCCGATTGCCACTTTGTTGTTCTTCCTCTGCTGGGACAGAGGGTGAGCCACGACCCAGTACCTCTGCACGCTGAGGCAGGTGATGAACAGGACGGAGCAGTACATGTTCCCGTAGAAGAAGCCCACCAGGACTTTGCACAGCGGCTCTCCGTAGATCCAGTCGTTGCCGTTTAAGTGGTAGGCGATCTTCAGCGGCGTCCAAATGACAAAGAGCAGGTCGGCCAGAGCCAGGTTGGCCATGTAGATCGACGACGGGTGCTTCTTCTTGGTCCTGAACAGAAACACCCAGACCGCCATGCCGTTGGCGGGAAGCCCCACCACGAAAACGATGATGTAAACGATTGGGAGGAAGACGGTGGTGAGGCCACTCTTCAGCGTTTCTGATGTTGTGTGGTCCACGACAACTTGTCCTGAGTTTTCAGGGTCCACAACCCCGAAGAACCCACGTGCTTTAGACCCACCTTTAAAATGACAAAATAAATACATATTAGGGCTGAAACTATTGATTCAACTGATTAGTTTATAGGGAGAATATTGATTGTAAATGATTCTGATAATACATTAATCATTTAAGTCATTGTAGTTGATCAGAAGTTGAACATTTTTCTTTATTTTCCGACAATTTTTAAGCTAAAAAATAAATATAAACTACTGATAGGTAAATAATCATTAGTTGAACTGATAAAATAGCTGATTTAAGTTTCCACGCCTACATTTACCGACATTCCTGTCAGTCTGGGAGTTGACCACGACCCAAGGTTAAAAATACTTCTGTCAAAAAGTCGCTCCAATATTCACGTTTTAAAAAATTTTTAACTTGTAGTATATACTTATAGTTTATATCTTGTCTGTGAGTAGTTTATTTAGTAATATCTTCGATGTATTCTCTTGAGATAAGACTAATTGTGTCCCATTAGATCGTTATGTAAACGACGTAACCCTCCACCACGATAAACACAGAGGAACTTCCGGGCTTACCTGTGGCGTCTGAGGCTGAAATGCAGCAGAAAATTAACAGCAGCGTCAATAATCGCGGTAAATCCATGTCTGTGCGCTTTCAACACGTCTCTGCTTCACTTCTCTTTTGTTGCACTCTCCCCACCACACAACCTCTTAAGTATAAGTTAACTTCTCCAACCGAGAAAAAGGACACGCCCCGAGACTACCTGTCTGTCTGGTTGCTTACGTCATGGTCGAGTAACCGCCCACCTGTTCTGCTCTGTGGCGGTTTCCCCAATAGAAGGTTTGGTCTCAACATTGGTCAGAGACAATAGTCAGAGAGGCAGCAACAACGCCACCCATCCAAAACAAACAGACTGGCTATATTTTAGTATGTCTATAGTATCTATAGTATCTATCTGTAGTATGTTTATATTATAGACATATGTTACATGAATATATATCCATCCGGAGGCCTGTCAGTATAAATGTTCATATAATATATTTAATATAAAAAATAGACATGTGTGTAAATTTATAAATTATTAAGAAAATCATATACAAACATAACAATTGTTAATGAGCCTGTTGTTCAAATAAAGTTGCATTTTACCATTAGTATTTCACATATGGTATAAACTTATATCTTCATATATCCAGATTATGTCATAATAACATAATTTGTTAATGTGCATGTTTTTGGACTGCAGGAGGAAGTCAGAATACCCTGAGAGAACCCACACTGGCACAGGGAGAACATGCAAACCAGGCCTAGGGTTCAAACCCATAAACTTCTCAATGTGAGGTGACAGTTCTAACCACTGAACCACTGTGCCGCTTCATAAATAAATCATCTTATAGTAAGGTATAAAAATATCATAGTATAGTAAGGCATGAAACGTCATAGTATAATAATGCATAAAAAAACGTAAAAAAAAAGAATTAGAATATAGTGAAAACTGCCGATCACATTTTCCTCAGGACCCGAGGAAACATCTTCAAGTGTCTTGTATGGTTTGACCGACCGACCTAAACCCAAATATTTTCACTTTAATGTGATAAAGGCAAAGAACAGCAGCAGACACTCACATCTGAGCAGCTGGAACTGGAAAATTATTGGTATTTTTGCTTGAAAAATTATTGAAACAAGGGGTTCATTTATCATTATTAATAGTAGATTCATTCTCTGTCCACGGACTAATTGACTAATTATTTTCAATATGTTATTACAGAAATCACACAGTGTGGCACAACAGATGTTATGAAACAAAGCTGTTAATTTTTTAATCTACCAATTTAACATTATTAGACAACATATCCTTTGCTAACTTAGCCTGGTCTTTGTCTTTTGTTGATATGACAACAGTTTGGTTGTTGTGAGGTCATGTGCTCGCCCTCTCCCCTGCTCTTATCATGTAAGGTGATCAGTTAAGACTCTGAAACTGTAACAGTGACGTCACCCTGCTGTTCTAACGCTGTAGGAATCTGAACTGTTTTTCCCTCCTCAAGCTCGAGACTCCGAGGCAGGAACACCGAGCTACAGGAATGTAAAGAAGCAAAGATTTTAAAACGTTTTTGTTAATGTCTGCAATTGAAACTCCACTTGGCCATATTGCGATTTCAATATTTCGACTAGTTGTTCAGGCCTACTTGCTCTGTAAAGTTTCATATACCCCACCTAAACACAGCCTGTGATTTGGTCCTAAAGGCGCGATGAAATAAACTTTTCCAGTTAAGAAAACCAAAGTTGAATTTCCTCATCACCGATACAAACTCTGACAGTAAAGGTTTAAATATCAGAACTGTTTTGAAAATAAGGAACACGCAGCCTGACCTTTCCAACCGCCTGTGATTAGAGAAAATGTCAGTGAACCAAACAGTGTGACAGGAGGGAAATACAGTAAGTAGGACAGTTACTTTTATTAGCAAACTGTAAAATATTACTTTAAAAAACACATACAAGCTCATGATATCCTGAACTTTGCCCATTTCAGGTCAAGGCTCAAAGCAAATACAGTTCATCTCAATAAAATGTCAACACAGAAGATTAGACACAATAAAATGACCAAAGGCAAATGCTCATATCCAAGTGCAATAAAATCAAACTCCATCAAAGAAACAGTTGTATTATAAATGATATAAAAATAAACTTCATTTACAAAACCAAGACAGCTCAAAATTTCTCGGAGGTCATCGCCACAGACGACTCTCCCTGAAGAAATCCACTTTATTTCAGTTTAATGATCCGGGATGAGCTCAGCAATCAGAGCTCTGCGTCTTCCCTGAATCAGACGTGTACACGTTTCTCTTCTTGGAGTATTTGAGGGCGCTGAAGGAAACCCTCATCCGCTCCACCGTCCTCTCGCTCCTGCAGAGCAGCGTGTTCTTCACGTGCTCCCTGAATTCCTCCGAGATGAAGTAGTAAACGAAAGGGTCAATGCAGCTGTTGAGACTCGCCAAGCACAGGGTGGTGATGTAGAAGCCGTACATGTTGTTGGTGGCCCCGCCCAACAGGTGGATGTAGTGCACCAGCAGCATGATGTTACTGGGGGCGAAGCACACCAAAAACATCACCAACACGGTGACGATCAACACCACGGCCTTGCGTCGCTTCTTGGCGATGGTGGGGTCCGCCATGCTGTTCCTGAGAGACTTGAGCATGAGGACGTAGGATATGATGCACACCATGGTGGGAACCACAAATCCCAGTGTTCCCATTGTCAGGAAGTAGCCCGCCGCTATCTTCTTCTGACTGGGCCTGGTGACGTCATGGCAGGTGAGGATGTTGAGGTTCGTTACACGGACCTCTTGATCGTACAGGTAGAGGGGGATCGTGAGAAGCCAGACCACCGCCCAGATCGTGACGGAGATGGAAACCGCCAAACAGTTGCTGTTCCGCTGCTGGGACAGCGGGTACACCACAGCCCAGTAACGCTGGATGCTTATACAGGCGATGAAGGCGATGGAGCAGTACATGTTGCCGTAGAAAAACGCCACCAGCACTTTGCACAACCCCGCTCCGTAGATCCAGTCGTTGCCGTTGAAGTGGTACGCTATTTTCAAGGGCACCCAGATGACGAAGAGCAGGTCGGCCAGAGCCAGGTTGGCCATGTAGATCGCCGACGGGTGCTTGATCTTGGTCCTGAACAGGAACACCCAGATCGCCATGGCGTTGGTGGGCAGCCCCACAATAAACACGATGATGTAGATGATGGGGAGGAAGACGGTGGTGAGTCGGCTGCTCAGGACTTGTTTGGCTCTGGTGCCGACCCACACCCCGTCGTTGGTCTCCGTACCCGTGAAGCCTCTCTCGTCTATGAACACATATGAAAAGCGGAAGTAAAACCGGTTTGTTCAGTGTGCAGGAACATGCTAAAACACCTCACACTCAAAACATAACTCAGTTCCTGTCAGCTGTGAGCATTTGGACAACTACACCTCTCAACTTGAGTCATCTGTGTTACAATGATCCATCTGAATATTTCCCATCATCAGTGCACTCTAACTTTACTAATCCAGCCTATAAGGGCGGCAAGGACCAACACACACCAAACAAACAACGCCTGTCTGGAGGTCAGAGCTGCGCGTTTTGGATCCTGTTCCTCCTGAAGTGGCTGAATATTCACAACAACAGAGGAAGACACGTTACCTATCTGCAACAGGCAGGTTGTCACACAGCACGACAGCAGGAGCAGCTGGAAACATCGCGTCCTGAAGGTCATGGCTGCAAACGGAAGTTATAGTAATGTCCGCCGCGGGTACGGTACTGCCTCGCTTCTCCCCGACGCCGGTTTAAACACGGTGTCAAAATAGCTGGTTTCGACACCTGCGTGATGTCACCCGGTCAGGTGACCGCGCGTGGCTCACACAACACACACCCATCATGATGTTGTCGGCGGTGTGAGTGTGTCTTCCTTCCTTCCGGAACTTCCATACGCAAATGAAATATATGTACATGTATTGAATTTCTATAAGCATATTATATATATATATATATATATATATATATATGTAAAAATTACATATGGAACCTGTTAGAAATTGACATATATGTCGAGCTAATAGAAACATGTATATATGCTTATATTGCAGATATATGTTACAAAGCCTGTCACCATATGTTCATATTATATATTTAAATATAAAAGATACACAGACATTTATTTTTTTTTATAGGTATGTTGTTTTAATACAGTTGCATATTACTATGGGTATTTCATATACGTTATAAACTCATATGTTCATATAGCCAGAGGATGTATATATGTGATAATAATATATCTAGTTTGACGTATTTTTTCTTGTATCACTGAGTGTGTTTACATGCACAGCAGGATGCTGGTCATGACTGGGGGTTTTGGAGTATGTTTAGCAGATGTAAACAGGGTTCAGAAAAACCTACATAAGATCTTATCTCAGTTTTGAGAAACCTGGATTTCCCAATAGAAGCCAGGACACTGTGGCACGTAAACACCTTATCCAGATTTATGAGCTGTAGAGAAATCAAAACACACTTGTTGACGCACAATCAGACCCCACGATTAATTTCACCTGAGTATAAATAATCAGGTTTTTCCTTTTCCATGCAAATGTCTTATCCTGAATCTAATCAAAAACAGGAGGAGGCTCTAAAATCAGGATGTTAATGAACATGTAGACGCACTTACATGTGCTCTCATGCAGAAATGCAGAATCTACTTAACACCTACACATGTGAAACTATGTGCAGATACAGTAGATGTGTATTCCTTCAGTCTTTCATGAACATGTGTAGACCACACATGTTCAAGCTGCACTGGTTTAAAAGCTTGACCTGGCGTCATGTTTAAAATGGGCTGTGCATTAAAAAATATTTTCCTTTTGTTTGGCAAAAAGTCATCCACAGTTTCATATTATTGTAAACTGAAGACCTTTGGGTTTTGGACATTTGGAGATGGGAAATGTTTCTTTTTTTTTGACATTTCATAAACTGAGTGATGAAAAAATAACTTAAGTTAAACATGATCAAACTGATTGTTAGAAAAACAACATTTTTGGGAGGAATTAACTCTTTCTTCAGTAGTTTCATGTCTAACTCTAACCCAATATCTCCAGTTACCATTAATATTAACAGTAATGCAGCGCCACCTGCTGGAGGAGTGAAGAGCCATGACACAGGTGTAGAGTGACGGTTTTAATGGGACACACATTCAGTACAGCACATTTCACACCAGCAGGAGGCAACATGAAACTACAGTGGTGCTTTGTTCACTCTGTGTATCGCTGTTGTTTCTTTAAAACACTGTCACAATGAGAACATTTATCTTGACACAATAAGAAGTAAAAAAAAAACAAAAAAAAACAGTGTTGTACATGTTTTGCTTTTCAAAAAAGTACAAAGTAAAACATGAAACATAAGTGCTTGAAAATAAGCTTTTCAGCAGATTTATACACAATAAAATACAAAAAAAAAAACTTCATTAAATGTTATACCTTTAGACTTACGTTATAAACTCATTAGCTCTTACACATGCCGTGCAAAAATAAAAGCATTTCATAGTATCAAATGTTCAGCTTCTAGAGATTACATTCTTATCTAATCTCGCATCTGGATTTCCTTCCTTCTAATCATGAAAGAGAAACACACGCAGTGGGCTAAAACCTTACAGATTAGCTTTGTGCTGTATTTGCTGTTTGCTGTTGCTTGAACTTCATAATAAAACATGTTTCCCTTTTCAAAACCTTCAAAGAGTCAGTTAAGTGGTGCAGTCATGTCTGCTCAGTCCGTCAGACCAGTAGCTTCTTGTACTGGCTGTTGAGGTTTTCTTGCAAAGAGTCCACTCCCGTAACTGTAGTGTGGATTTTGGAGCTTTCTGTACGGCTGGATTTCAGAATCGCTCTGGAGCTGGATCTGCACGAGTCAGAAGATGAATGACTGAAGCTGCCGCCCCCTGAGGTCTTCTGACACCTCAGCATGCTGGATAGTTGTCTCTGGCACTGGGACGATCCAAAGTAGTAGACCAGGGGATCCAGGAGGCAGTTCAGACTTCCCAAACACACAAAGACTAGATAGGCTGCGTAGGAGCCGTCAGGGTTCTCCTGGATGTTTGTGACGCCTTTGTTAAACTGCAGGTAGTGAGCGAGCAGGAGACAGTTTGTGGGCGTGAAACACAGCACAAATATCACCAGCACCGTCAGAGCCATCACCACTGCTCTGGTTCTTCTGCGCAAGCGTCCTACGACGCCGCGCGGGACCCGGCTCAGGGACCAGATCACCCGAGCGTAGGAAACCACCGTGATGAGCAGAGGCAGGAAGAAGAGGGCGCAGCACAGGGTGATGAAGTAGATCTTGTAGTGCCACATCAGCTTATGCGCAGGCTGGACGTCGTGGCAGGTGATGATGTTCAACTGACTGAGGTGGACAGTCTGGTCAGAGAGGACGAGGGGCAGGGTGCCGGCAAAGGATAGTATCCACATGGCAGCACAGGCTATGATTGAGTTCCGTGGCCTCCTCCAGGACAGGGAGTCGATAGGGTAGACTACAGCGAGAAGACGGTCCACGCTGATGCAAGCTATGAGCAGAACAGAGCAATACATATTCCAGTAAAAGGCTGCGGTGACCACACGGCACATAAGCGGCCCGAATATCCAGTTGTTGCCGCCGAAGTGGTAGGTGATCTTGAAGGGGAGCAGCACGGCGAAGAGCAGGTCGGCACAGGCCAGGTTCAACATGTAGATCGCCGCCGTCTTCTTGGGCCGGATCTTCAGAGAGAACGCCACCACCGCGCAGATGTTGATGGGCACGCTGATGAGGAAGACCAGTGTGTAGAAGGACGGTATGAGGACGGTGGAGAGAGGGCCTGTGAGAAACTGCAGCGCCTCTTCTGAGAGCTCCATCCTTAAGGTGTTGGTTTTATCACCCACCCAGCCGTCTGTAGAGTTATTAAATCTGGTCACCCCATTATCTTGATCAATATAATCCAATGGTATTGGTTCAGCTGTGAATGACTTCTCATAAAGGCCAAAAGTCCGCAATCGTAAGGTGTCTGGAGAGAGAGAGAGAAAGAGTCAGGGCATCCAAGATATTACAGTGAGAGGTGAAAGGTATTTTTTATTCATATCATGATTTATATTATAGAACGGAAATGATTGAGTGATTATTGATCAACAGAAAAGTAATAGGCAACTGTTTTGATTTTGAATCAATTAACTGATTGTATAAAGGTAGATGTCCATGTGTGGTGTGATTATAGATCAGGTCTAGGTTCTATATTAATACTGTGAAAGTATCAAAGCCTCAGTCCACAGAGAAATGCACACAGCCTGTATTCAGAAACTGAGCCTTAAAACCAGCCGTCAGGACTTCTGGAACTTTGTGATGTCACAACAAAACATTCATCGCTCTCAGCCATGCCACAAGCCCCGCCCACCTGGACCCACCATCCAAACCTTGTAGGATTTGGTTTCTCTGAGTGTTTTACCTGAAATCTGCTATATTTTTATTAGATCACTCAGAAAACAGTCAGCCAATCAGAAGAGAGGCTCAGAGCCTGAGAGAGGAGATGTCAAACTACACTGAGATGGTTTTTGGTACTTTGAGATCACAAATAGACTTCCTCAGATAAAACTTCAAATAAAACACAGGAAAAGTGGAAAATATAACTTACTGGTTCCAAACTCTCAAACAGTAATATTTACAGTTTTTTTCTCTCTAGAAAAGTAAACTGTATATATCTAATCTGAAGAGAAATCAATCATCATTTGAACACCACAGCTTTGACCATGAAAAATCATGATAGGCAGGTTTTTACCATATTATGGTTATGGATCAAACGATTAATCATTGCTTGGGCCATAAATCAGTTAGCCAGGTGTTATTTAAAAAATGATTGACTTTTTGAATGATCATTAATGGTTTCAGTAATTTTTTAAAGCAAAAATTGACAAAACAAAACAAAAAAAAAAAGCAAAAAGACAAATGTGGATTTTTTTTTGCTTACAATTCATAGACTAAAGGATTGATTGAAATGAAAAAGATTAAAGATGAAAAGATGAAAAATAATCATTTTATAGTGTGTTAAGTGTTATTTTGATTTTCGATGAATCTGTCCCAAAACGAGGCACATCATCAGACGGCTTGTTTTAAGTTTACAATGATTTAAAGCAAAAAAACAAACAAAAAACAACAACTAATCATCACGTTGACAAACTGTAAACAAGAGCACTTGGGTTATTACCAAAACAGCTGCTGATTATTGATAAATCAACTTATCTTTTTCTATCAAATCAATATAGTAAATTATATCATACCTATATTTCATACCAAAACTAATAAATACACAATGTTACAGATTTGTTGTCAGATACCTATTTAAAAAAAGGCTTTTTAAGTGTTGTTTGAATGGAGCATTTGTTATTTTAATATTAGAGAATAACTTAAGTCTTCTTACCGTTTCTGACCGCTGAAGCAGCACATGCGCAGACCACAACCACCAGCAAGGTTCGTAAAAACTTTGGAAACATTTCGCTAGTGAAAAGTGATTAAAAAAAAAAGGAGAAAAAACGGTGAAACAGTCTCAAACAGCGTCGGACTCTCCGTGTGTCGAGCTCCTCTTCAAACCCCTTTCTGCTGTTGATCATTCCTCGGCCAAAGTTTGTTTGATTTCCGCCCACAGTCCAGTGAGTCCGAAACACAAACAGCCAATCACCAGCGAGATATGCACGCGGACAGACATTCCTGTCGTATGATGTCACCTTTCCTGTCTCACAGCAGCAGCAGCAGCCAGATCCAGTTTAACA